AGAAGCCCTTCTATCCTGAATCTGAAGGTCAGCATGTAACTGGACTAGTGCAGTCTGTGAGGAGATGTGGTCACTGCCTCCAAATCTTTCTGTATTAAATTAAAACGAAAAATGAAAGGAGCTATTTGTGGAATTATATTCAGATTCTAGAATGGGAACCTGAATTTTCTTCTTGAGATTAAGTGGCTTTCATGTTCCTCATTTATTTTTACAGCTCAAAAGACATGCCAGGTACTTGATTGAGCTAACAGCTTCTGTCCCACAGACCTCGCAAATCAAAAGCTTCATACCTGTAGCCCCTAATTCCTGCAATCTGTCCTGTGCAAGGGGAGTTCATTGTGTGTGTACTCCCATTACAAGGGGCAAGGCTTAGGAAGCCATCCAAAAGGAGCATAAATAAAGAGACTTTGCCCCTTTTTCTTTCTCCTCAGAATGATTTCATTCTGTTACTCTCCAAAGCAGTTTTGTTATTGTTGAAGAGAAGCTGGTGTGTTGCTGTTTTTGTTAATATCCACCTTTCCTTCTACATATGCTCTGGTTAACACCAAAGGAATTAGCTAGAATTTCAATGTGACTTCCTATATGTAAGCATGCTATACCACAGCCTAAATATCTCTGTATCATGCTACATTAGGACCACTTTCAGTCCAAATGCAACTAGGCAGAGAACTGTGCAGTAGGGCTCTGCAGTTGCTTTTAATGAGGGCTGTGATGGAATAATTGAAAACACGTGTTACCCGTGCAGCACTAAAGTGACTGCAGAAGCAGGAAGGGAGATGTCCTTTTGCTGTTGATTAGGACTGATCCTCCCAGAACGGAGTAGTAGTAAGCCCCTGAGAGGTTTTGATTTCTATCCCACTTAATTGTTCTTGAAAGTCTGCACTGTCATCTACTTTGGACATTATTGTATATTTTTCAATATGTTTGGCTGTACCTAATTAATAACTGTCCTATAGTACATTGCCCTCTTCCGCCAGCTACAGCTTGAATTCATTGATATCATCTCCTTAAAAGTTTGAAACCCCCCAGTGACAGGAATATTAATGTGCCAACACTGTCATATCTATTTCAGCTCATACATATGCAATGTCTTTGTTTTCAAAGATTTATGTCAGACTTTGCTGAAGTGAGGTATTCTACCATTTTAGATAATAGCATGCCAAAGTGATGTTATCAGGCACATTCAGCACTCACTCAAGCAAACGGGAAGGAGCACCCATTCCTTCATAGCTTAAACACAGAGAAACTGTTATTTATCCTTATTTGATGAAGAAATCTTCATCCTTATTTGATGAAGAAATCTTTCAAGGGAAAATGGTATATTTTTAGAGGAAGATTATGGTCATCCTGTGGATTATCTTTTAATTAAGAATGGATGATTTGTGCCCACTCTGCTGTAGCAAACGTCTTGCTGCTAATGAAGTTTAAACAGACTTACTTTATTTAATTACAGCTAATCACTAGGGTAAAATGTGGAATTGTCTTTGATCCGCATGTAGAGTGGTAATCCTTGTGGCAGATAGCATCTCTTATTCCCTCAAACTCCTTTCAGTTTCTCCAGGAGGTCCCAGCTTAACTAAGGGTTAATTGAGATAGCTGGGCTGGTGTGATTGATGTATTTTTGCTCAGGGATGCCATCCTGCTTTTCCAAGGACTTTCTTTTTCTCTCTCTTTCTCTCTCCCTCTCTCTGCCTGTGCAGTCACCTTCAGGCTGTGTAATGTAGTAGATGCCTGCTTGTTTGACATAAGGGACCTGAGGGGGCCAAGGTCCTGCTGGATCAGTGAGTGAAAGAACAGAGACTGCTAGAGGGAGAGCAGAGGTTAGAAGAGGGCAGCAGAGACCAATGTAAAGCAGAAGAGGGCACTAGTAAACTGACCTATTTCAGCCACAACTGTTATACCCTGAGCTGGTTATAAAACAAAGCAATTGATCTGATATTGGGGACAATAATGCAATTTGCCGAGGGAGTAACCCCAAAGGTATTTTATTATTTTATTTTATTTTATTTTATTTTGTTTTGTTTATTAAGGAAGTGATCCTCACATCCAGGAACATCAGTAAAGCCTCTGACTTCCAGGTTTTCAAAATGTGGCAAGTAAAAGCCAAGGTAGTGAAAAGTCGGTGAAAGAAGTGGGAATGAGAATTTTTTATAGAGAATTTGCGACTTCATATTTTTGTCTTGTGCCCAGGACCTTTCCCCAAGAAGTTTCCTTGCTTCACAAGTTTCTGAGGCTGGTGAAAGCTGTGGAAAGAGCCATCCATTATGTTTGTCTTTTGCTTCAGACTTCTAAACTTTTCCAACTTGCTGACCCTGGTCCTAGGCCCTAACCGCACAAATACTTACATGCACAAGTGACTCCAGAAAAATTATGCTCAAGCATAACATTACCTATATCGATAAAGTCACTCACATGGGTTAAAGTTTGTACAGCTGGCTTCTTTCTATATTTTGTATTTCACAGTAATGTTGATTTCAAATTACTGGACTTGCTTTTATCTTTTAAACTAATTTTGTCACTTTGTCTTTTTGTTTTGTTTGTCTTCCTGATCTGCATTGTAAAAATATGTCTCCATTGTCTGAACATATTCTGGCTTCTTGTTACTTCTCTGTTAAAATAGAATAACATTGTTTATTTCAATCTTTGAAGGCAGGATGTCTGGGCTTCTCTTTCTGTTTGTTTGTTTGTTTCAAAGAGTAATTTGAAATGGAAACATTTATCTATCAGCCTGTTCAGAAATACTAAAAGCTTTAATTAGCTGGGTAAAAAAGTTGTACGCTGTTATTTACAGGAACTATTAACTTGCGCTCTGGCAATAGAGGCAAAAGACACAGAATATGCCTTTTGTGTAAAATTTAAATAATTAAAATAGAATAGTTTGTAGTTAGTTTCCACAATAATGCGTTAAACATCTGCAGTTTTGTCTCTCCATCGGGATGCATAGCTGTGCTGAAGTCACATCCTGATAACATCTGCACATTAGTGATAGCTTTTGCTTTATTCTTTATGGTCTGCTGATGAGGGATTCTTCAACAGTCCCTCAGTCATCAGAAGCACTGTTGAAAATTTTGCTTGTGACATCCTGAAGGTGGCTTGATTTACATTTGCTAAATGTCATAGTATGTGAAGATATTCTCAGTTAAGCATCTCGTCCTGGCCCTTTTTTTCTTCGCTTCTTTGGTCTGGGTATTGTTTTCCTTTCATATGGACCATTGTGTATCTAAACTAAATTTTCAATGAGATTTATTTTGTTCCGAATTTACTTCAACACCAGGGATGAAGAAAAAGCCATTAAAAAAAGTTTGTGACGAGGAACAGCACCTTCATTCCTGCCTGCATGGCAACAACAGCTGCATTCCCATGAAAAGGCCAGCTTGTTAAACATCATGTAACACTGAATGTACTGAATATTTTAAAGGTCAGGTATTGACAGGCACTGAGCTGCTTATGTTTCCCTAATGACCCCAATTACATCCAAGCTGAGTAAGTAGTCAATAAACAATGGCATTAACATATGTAGAAAAAGTGTTTATTTTACATTTCCAAGACAATTGGCAATCTCCTGGTTGTCATCTAAATGTAGAAGCTAGGTCTTGGTCCCTTTGATGAATGAGAAGGACAAGAGAGTGGTTGTGGGTCTTAAAGACCGCAGGCCTGTCTGAGAAATTTCAGGTAAGCTACCTCGTACTCACACACAAAGCTGATTTCTCTCTGATTACCGAGAAGTAAAGAATCTTGAAGGGAAAAGATAAATGTAGAAGTTTACTTATAATGTACCTTATGCAGTGTAATGTACAGTCAAAAAAAACAGGAATGTTTTCTGAGGATCCGTAAAGACTCAATTGAGCCTTAACTAAAAAGCTGATGATTTGTCTGCATATTTTCAGCGCTGCTGCGGAAATAAATTCTCCTTCTTACTTTTGAGCACTTTTTCTCACTCCGCGAACAAAATTTCTAACCGTCTTTGGAAAAGTATAGTAACTTCACAATCTGTTATTTGAAGCATGCATAGACTTGTCAATTAATAAATGAAATATTGGGAGGCCCCATGCGATACAGTATCAAGTGGAAAGAGAATTATCAAAAGAAATTGTAAAATATTAGCAAATAAGACAAAAGATTGCAGATTCATTCAATTTCCTTCCTAAACTGCAAGCCAAAGCTTTAGCGTAGGTACACGAGCCTGCCAGCAGCCTCACACTGCAGCAGTTATCACTGGCTGCTGAAGGAGCAGCTTGACTCCTCTCCCAGCTAGCAGTTAGAAATGGTAGGACAGCCGCCAGGCAGAGAGGGGCACATCAAGAGGCAAGCTAGAAGAAGCTGGTAAATAGCTAGAAGAGGCTGGTAAATACCCCCTTTCCCCCTCCCCATGAAGTTTCCACACAAATGATGTTTTCATAGCCGTATGTTGCTTCCAGAAGGTGAGGAGAAGCTAGTTCATTGACCAACGTTGCTTTGCAGCATAGTAATATTTACAGGCTCCCACCAGCATCAGAGATTGGTTGGTCCCAATGTTGCACAGGTCAGAGTTTTTGCACCAGAAGGTTTTCTGTAAAAATAAACTATGGCAGAATGTAAGTATTATCTCCATTTTGCAGCTGGATAAACGAGCTCAGACAGACTAAATCTCCCATTCAACAAAGACTTAAGTCTGTGCTTAACTTTCATGGGACTACTCCAGGGTTTAAATTAAACACCCATTTAAGTGCATTGCTGGATCCCAATCAAAATCAAGAAAAAAGTCTGTAGCAGATCCAGGGCTTGAAACATGAGTCTCTGAGTTCCAGTCCAATGCTTTAACTCACGAGACCATCCTTCTTCAATTTAGGTCCTAATCTGATGACTTTTCAATAAGAAATAAACTTTTCAAAAAGTTTAGAAATTCCTAGAGATCAATGACATATTCTAAGCTTTTCTGAACGTGTAAGTGTGTTGTTTTTAGAACTGAGGGGGAAAATGAGTTAGTATTTTACATTGCATCTCTCTCTCTCTTTTTGCAGGAAAAAAAAACGAATCAGAGACTGCAGATTAATTCTCATCCACTTTCAATGTCTGGCAAAGCTTGTCTTAGGTCCGAACATTTTCTCATTTTATTCAGTTTTTTTCCAATAAGTTGATAAGTAGGATAACATGACTTAGTGGTGCTTTGTCAACATCGATTCATTTGAGGACAATCTTTTAAGATTCTTCTTATCTTTTAAGATAAGAAAGAACTGTTTCAGCCTGGTTCACTGAGTAAAACGAAGATCAACACCATCCCTTGTACCACCAACACAGTAGTATTCACTGATGGCTTCTGATGAAGAATCCCTTCAGTCTGTTAGACTGAAGACTCTAGACACTTCAGTGAACTGCTGGAGGAGTTTTTCCATCTGGAGTTAAATTCAATCAAGAGTCTCCTCTTGCTTTGTAGACGGATTACAGACTGCAAGAAGTCTAGGTGGGAAGAGTATATGCTGAGCTTATGCTCAAAAACCAGGTTGCACTTATCATGCTGTTTTCTTCTGGTTTCTGCAAGGCTAAAGGCATAGCTGGTGGTTTTAGGGTTGGGGAAAATGGCTATGAATGCGGTCTTTCTTCTCTCAATATTGGATATTAAATGACCTTAATTTCATTTTTACAACATACGAATTCCCAAATAATGAACAGTTATCTCTTCCCACTATTTTCTGCTTACTACCTTTTTAATTTCTGTATTATTTCTCTTCTTAATTTCCCCAGTCCAAGCTACAATGTAATCAGTATATGCCTATTACCATGCATATCCTGTGGTTCAGATGGGCCAGGATCATGGCAGTCATAGACAGATTGACTTTTTTCAGACTCAAGTGGAGATAACCACTCCACTCAAGTGGAGACACGAGCGGATAGAAGGTAAGGGGGAAAGTCAAACAAGTAAGTATACAAGGAATTTTTTTACCTCTGATTGTTGGCCAGTTTTGAATGAATGGCAAATTGAGTAAAGGCCAGAAAGGCAGTGGAGGGCCTTGTTGTTGAAGCAGCATCAAAGTAGGAAATCCAGACTCCTGGGGTGCTTTTGCAAAATATGCCCGTTCAAGTGGTACTTCTAATAGAAAATATGAAGCCATATCTGCAACTGCTAATGTCCAATGCATCAGTCACCTTTTAGTTAGTTTTATTGTAAACTGATTAACTATTCCAGTTTGGGGATTCATGCAGCAAAGAATAATGAAACTGATCTTCTTCAGAGTTCACAATTTTCATTATCATAATTGCCTTTCAATTTTGCTGCCAGTGATACATATCTCTACATTACTGTGTGAGTGCGCCCTTCCATTGTTGTTTCTAGTGTTCTGGGAACAGATGGCCTTTTACAGCAGATATATTTTGAAAGCCAGAAGAAGAAATGACTCTCCTAAAGAACATTTAGTCCAATACTAGAATGATTACAGTACCAATACCAGAGAAGTATTAGATGTAGATATATTGGAAGTATTATTCTATATGGACTTTAGGGCATTATCCAAGAAGTGAAGCTTGGAAAGCGATCAAAAACGAAGGAATGATGTATAACAAATACAGCTTGATACAATGCATTAAGGGCAGTGGCAGCATGAAAGAAGAAACAAAATGTGTGGGAATCCTGGGTGTAGGAGGTGGACATTGCCAGAAGCATGGTAGGAAATAAACTCTTGAAGAGTAAGAGCTGTGAAGAGGACGGATAAGAATTCTGACATTTGTGCAGAGCAGGAAAGTCAGAGCTCACGTAGTAAGAAGCGTAGTTTGAGCAATGGGAAAAGGTGAGATTGCTCCATTTGTTTTCAGTGGACTCTTTCCTCTCCAGGCTATGCTGCTCTTGTGCTTTTCTTTTGACTCCTAATCTGATGCAGATTTCTATTCCCTTCTCAGCTCTGGCAGCCCTTTAAGATTAGACCCTGCCTTGCAAGACAGTGCTCTGGGTATTGTCCCTGAAAATCAGGTACGCAGCCTGTTTGTGGTTACCCCTTTTCTCTCTGCAGTTCTTCTTTGGCTCACAGTCAGAATTAGGTGCGTATGAATACATTAAATGTAGCGATTGGGAGGTACAAACAATTATTCAGTCTCTCCCAGTAGACGCAGGAGCGGCAGCTCTAGTAAACACTGAGCCTCCACAAGTCCACTTCTCATGTAAAGTCTAGTTCAAATCTATACTGCTCTTTTTGGTTTGGGTTGTACTTGTTTGTTTGTTTGTTTCCTGGAGCTTTCTGCTTTATTTGTTTGGAACAGTTATTTTAGTTTTTGCTGTGGCTTCGAGTGCCTCTACTACTTTGTCTTCTGTGAAACTTTAGTCAGTCAGAATCTTTTTGGAAGGAAGTGTCATCCAGAGCTCAGAGTAACAGCTCCAGTGTGTGTTTCTGAACATGTTGGTGGAGGTCCTTGTGGGCAGCTGCAATCTGTGGAAGTATATAAGTGGTGGCAAATTTAGCCATCACACTGCCCATATGGCTGCCACAGGAGCACTAGGGTATGAAGGTCATGAGCAAAGTCACGCTCTGCCGTGCCTTTGTTTATAAAACTCCCTGGGCTTACAATACATGACCATGCAACTGCTGAGGTGCTGCAGCCCAGGGTGTCAGGGAAATACCAGTTTCATTAAGACTCTTGAACCCTATCATGTTACACTTCAGAAGTAGTGACCAGCTTATTTAAAACAAAGAAGCTTTGACCTTTCTCCCCTTTTGAAACCAAAAACATATGAAGCTAAAGTGACTCATTTCCGGCTTTAAACAAGCTCTAAGAAACATTTTTTTCCAAGTACAGTTTGTGCACTTTCTCTTCTTCCTCTCTTTTCCTTCTCTTCCCCCCTCCCCCCTTCTGCATAAATATCTCATTCCTTCTTGTCAAGGTCAACATATTTATTACTTATATTCACTGTGTAGTTCTTTTTTACTTCTAGCTTTCTTTCTTTTTCCTTCCTTTCTTTCTTTTTATCTGTGTTGTTTATAACCATGACCCTTGATCCTCCAAGTCTTAAAACAGCTTGGCTTTCAGCAGCTAAATCTGACAAGGTCAGCATTTTTCTGTTTATTCTGAGAATACTATTTACCCTCTGGGGTTTTTAAAAGCAATTCTGTAAAACATCACTTAGAAAAAGTTTGTAGCACTCAAAGACTTCCATAAACCTAGTGCCCAGCAAATAGTAACTTTTAATTCTAATTGCAGAACTCAGAATAATTAGACTTGATTTTCCCCTCTCCCCTGTCAGAAGATGTCTCCACAAACACATTTTCCAAAATTATTGCTTATTTCATTCTAAACATACTAACAACCTACTAATAGTTAGCATAATCTTTTTCAGCAGCGTAAGATTCACGTATAATGAAATCAGACCTATTTTATGACCAACAAGTTCCTAGAATAACCTTATTGTTATATGCACAGACCTGTATTAATTTCTCTTTCATTGGAAAGAAGTGTATGTTGCATCAGTTTTCTGTCAAAATAGTAAACAATCCTGTAATCTTCAGAAAGTCAGAAAATGACAGAACCAATAATACAAAAGCAAGGTGTCCTTGGGCTAATACCCAGACTCTTTGTAAATGATGTTGAATTCATACCCATTTAAAACAAGCCAATTTAAACAACCTGACTGTCTCAGAAGATTTTCAAGAAGAATGTGATTGCTCAGATGCAAGTGTCCCCAAGGCCATGAAAAAATGACACTGCTGTTAGTGCCAGTTGGGGACTACAGAAAATTGAAGATTCTCCCTCTGCAATTTCCTTGCCTTGCCTTTCCTTGCCTTTCTGTTTTCCTTTACTTCTCCTCCCTCCAGCTATCCGTTCATTGGAATCCAATGGAAATGGAGCTCTGTAGAATAAGCGGAAGGTAGGGATGCAAAGAAGTAGCAGAAAAGCATCTGCAGCAAAACTGGAGGATTTCTGTGCAGAAACTAATGTGAAAAATGCTGCTATTTAAACCTTGCTTTATGGGTCTTCTGCATGAGGACACAGCAGAGAAACCTGCCAACAGTAGCCAGATTACTAGGGAACAAAAAATATCTTCTCAGAGCAGTCTGCTAGAAAAAGAGATGGATGGATAGATAGTCAGATAGACAGGTATACAGATTCAGAACGTATCTCCCCAAAATCTGTGGATATAAGTAAGGTGCAAACTTCAAAATCTATGGCCTTTAGAGGAAATAGTTTCAGAAATATTTTTAGAGTGAACCTGGGAGTTTTTGACCCAGCTCAGTACTACTCACTACCTCTGCCGTGAACATTTCTCAAGAGACTGAGATCTCCTCCACTGTGAGAGCACAGTGCTCATCTATCTTTTATCTGCCCCTCTGTGCTTTCTACAAGGAGGTGAGATCAGTAAGAGTAAACACTTGAAGAAATGCCCTGAATTTTCCATGCTTGTTTTCAGCCTGAAGGTAAATTCTTCTGGAAAGTTTGGTAAGATTCTATTTGGCTGATTTTGAGTTACCCATGCATGAAATAAAATGTTTTTCATATTTTAAGATGTTTTTCAAGATGCATTTCTTTGGCTTAGATAATTTCAAAACTGGCTCATTTTAGCAGAGATTGTTTTCCAGAAGGAATGCATGCTTTTTTTTCAATTTGAAAAAGAGATTAGGGGGTGGGGTGAAAGGAAGCTGAAACCAAGTTAAAATTGCATAAAGAATATTAAGAATATATCTTTTTCCTTGGTAAGGCACTGAATTTCAGCTTGCATTGAACATGCACGTGATTATTTAAAATGTGCTGAAGGAAGGATGAGATCAGGGTGATATTTCAGAAATGTCTTTCTATCAGTGACTTGCTATGGGTTCTTGATAAGTCACTGCAGTTCTCTGGCTCATATTCCATATCTGCAAAATGGCACTGCAGTGCTTGCCTGCTTTACCATGCTGCTTGCCTACTTTACCACGGTGCTGTGAGACCATGCCATTAGGGGGCTATACAAGATGCTTTAAAGCATCTATTTTGTAATAATTGTCATGATTAATGGTATAAATGAAGTAGGTTAAATGTTTAGCTGCCAAATTATTTGAAATCAAATGACTGCATAGACAAAGAAATTCCCCTTGGTAATGAGGGTTAACCCAAAGCCAATTTGGGTTAACCAGTACAACTTGAGGATGCATGAGTAAATGGCTTAGGCTGACATTACTGCACGCTTGGCAAAATCTAATGTCACTATAATCAGGACACACTGAACATGCTTTCACAGAACCTTTATTCTGTTAGAAAAACTATGGCAATACACAAGAAAATATTGCATGCAGGGTGGAGGGCTCAGTTATAGTTGTTGTGAGAACCATAAATTTGATTTAGAAGAAAAAAAAACTTTTCTGCATGAAAATGTTCATCTAGAGTGTTGCAAGAGCAAGATTTTAATCGTTATTTTTCCACGGCCTTTCCTGAAATGAATGCATTCCACTGTTTTAACATTTTATATAAAAGCATGGTCTAGACATGTACATGTACCAGTGGAATGAAATCATCAATAATCACTATCTAAAATGAATTACATTCCAAAAGCACAGACTAATGATTTATCTTTTTTTCATGGGACCGATCTCTATCAGATTGATTTATGTAGCAGCCAATCATGTTTCAGTAAACTCCAGCATGCACATGCATCTTTAAGTGATGATAAGCTGGGACTGTCAATTTATTTGTACACCAGAAGCCAAAAAAAGAGGAACCAACCTGCAGTAACAGTACTACGCTTCTCCAACAGAAAAGCTCGCTGAAAAGCTACCTTCTGTTATTGTTCTTTACTCTCCGCGTCAAATAGATGGACAAAGTAATGTAGTGAAATGTATATCCAACCAGAAAAAGATAATTCCTGAGGGGGAGGGCTAAAACGGTATACCTTCCTATGACAGCTGATAAACAAGCTTTTTTTTTACTTGCATGTTACATTATTTGCTTTGATAGAATGTATTTTGTACATTTACATTATTTGCTTTGATAGTAGACGCTTTTGTTGGTTGTTGGAGTGATTGACAGCTTCAAGCTGTTCTGTTTAATTGCCTTTCTGCTATGCAAAATTCTATGTTTAGAAGACACCATTTCACAAATAAATCAAGTGTGTAGATGTATGTGTGCATGAGAGAGAGAACTGTAGAGAGAATTTTTTCAATTGGATTCACTAACCGTTCTGTGGCGTACTCATCTGCATTTCATTTGACTGTATGTTGGGTTGTTTCTATCTGTTTTTCAGTCCCTCTCTGAAGAGTCAACATGGCACTCGTTTGGGTGAGGACAATCTGTAGTACCCCTGCTTGTTTCACAGGAAGCAGGGGATATGATGGTGTCTTGAAAAAAAACAGACTAGAGTACATCCAAAGTTCATCATTTGTTTTTGCATAAAAAGAAAACAAAACATACACATAGAAAAAAAACCTGATGTCTCTATTGTATTCTTTGGGGTTTTTTGTGCTTTATCCTTTGGACTAGTTCTTAGAGGTTATTCTTTTGGATTTTATTTTGAATCCTAATTAAATTAATTGTTCTATCTCCTTCTTACTTCAGACCAGAGGATATGGAGCCTTTGGAGAGTTTATTTTTGTTTTGTGTTTTACTGGCAAAGGAAAGTGAATTCTGTTTTATTGATTTACAAGGGTTTGGAAGCAGGAGAGACAGTGTTTATAGCATGAGTGACTGCTGCTTGAGTCTGAAAAGAGTTGCTGCAAACAACCAACTCGAAAACTTAATGTTTGGTGACATCTTCACATTACAAGTTAGCCAGGACAGCACTGAATTTACTATTTATTTTATTTTCTGGAATTATAACAGGATGTTCAGAAGGTGTTTATTTCAGTAGTGACATTATTTTTCTTTGATTACCAAACTTGAACACTTTTAGGGGTTTCATGAATCAATAGGCATATGGTTTAAATGGAAACATTTCTAACACTGATATATTTAAAAAGTATTTTTTCCTTGCACACGAGTAAGAGATTTCGTGAAATGAGGTAGGATGGTAAG